GTCCCATAGCTTCTGGCTTGGAGTTACTCAGACTGCCCTCAGGGTACCTGCTCTAGTTCCAGACTCAACTGAACAGGTATCAGGGGTGAAAGCGTTAGCTTGAGGCTCAAAAAGGAGCTCTGAGCAAGAACCCACAGAGTTACAGAACTGACCCAAAGACACAGAATTGGAGCACATCAAGAATTACCCAGCAGTGTATTGTGAGGGAAAGCATTTGGTAGCAGAAATACCCCCTTTTCATTTCCCATCTGTAATGCAGCCTTTTAAACTAATCTGCCAAATGCGTTCTGAAAAGGTTATTATTCACATTCAAGTTTGCAAAGTGCTTAGTGGAAAGCCAGACTTGGCAGAGAAACTTGACATTGGAAATATATCCAGTTTGTTTCTACTTCTTAATGATAGGATTGTATTTTATAATTTACCAACAATGTACAAGGTAGAAAATAATGTTATTCAAAACCTAGTATGAATGAGGAAACATTTACTAAAATCCTTACAGATGGATTTACTTTGTGCTAAGGCAATTGGAGTTATGAGACAGAGGTAGGAGCAGACAGAAATCAAGGTTCTAGCTGTGACTAAATGATTTATAATCAAATAAAAGCATAACCAAAAATTCAATTCCTCAGTCGCACCAGCCACATTTTAAGAACTCAACAGCCACATGTGGCTAGTGGTTAGCATATTGGACAGAACAGAAATGACTGTTTCCATAATCTCAAAAAGTACTACTGAATAGCCCTAGATTAGAGGAAAACAGCAGAGAGCACTGCCAAGTGAAAAGATGAGTAGTTAAGAACCCCCCCAAAACTAATTATTATAATAATAATTCCTAAGTGTGGCAGTGTTACAGAGCAACCCCAATATGAAATGGGTTGGCCTGACTATGGGTCCTTATCCGTGTGCTTAAAAAGGACTTATAATGAGACTCAACTGCAGGCACACGCAAAAAGGTAAACAAAGGGTTTATTTACAAAAAGAGGGGAATGAAGAGAGGAATGACTCAGGGAAAGAAAGAGAGAGATAAATTGGTAAATGCGTCCTACCAGTTCCCCTGAGCTGGAAACCCAAGAGCATGCTTAATGCTAGCAGAAAACCAAGGATTCCCAACACCCACATATTTGGTTATATACCAAGCCTGGCTGCTTAACTCCACCGTGGGGTCGCAGCAATCTTTGGTGGTGATGACATTATGGGATTTGTAATCCTTGGTGTCTTGGACCTCTTTGGTCTGGGGTGGGAGTGGAGTCCATAAATTGTGGAATTTATTTGTGGAATTCATTAAGGACCTCCTTTTCCCCCAACAGCAGGAGTTTCAAAGTAGTGTTTTCCATAATCCTCATGGCAATCTACAATCCACACCCTCTTAGCTACAGGCTAGGCACAAAGGGCTCTATGGTAATAATGCATCAGTCTTTGCAAGAACCCCATGAGGTTGGTACTATTATTTCCTTATCTAACAGATGAGGAAACTGGCAGAAAGGGGTTTTATAACTCTTCCCTGCTTACCTGGCTTATAGGGAAGAGTTGGGATTCAAGCCCCCATTTTTCTGGGTTTAAAAATTAGAAGGTATGGAAAAGGTCTTGCACACTCTGTATGTGAGCAAAATATGCTTTGAAGCCACTTTCTTCTAAGGCAGGCCCCCCAACATTGGATTCTCTGTCACAAAGTTGTCTTTCTGGCTGAAGAAGGCTTTATGCCAATTCTGATAGAGAAAACAATGATCCCCTGTCAGCCAGGATGTGAGCCACTTCCTTCCCCCTAGAGCAGAATCTGCTGTCTGCACAAAGGAAGTTGGTTTCTCAGAAGCTCACCTTTGTAGAAACAAATCTATTTAAGTGAAAAATTCAAAGTAATATTCTTGTTTAAGGTAAAGATAATTGCAAGTATATATGAGAAAAAGCTATTTTCCTTAGGTGGTGAGAATATGAATTTTTTTTTCTTTGTGTTTAGCTCCATTTTGTAACTTTTCTACATACATATGTGTGATAATTTTTTTAATTTTAAAAATTTCTGTTTTTTAATATTATTTAAAAAATTTTTTACATCGGTATTCATTTTTAAACATTATTTGCTTTCCCTCACCCCCTCAGGTGTAGTCCCCATAGTTTCCTTCACCAATGTACCCGTGCACCATCACCTCAGTCCCCTGTGCTCCTCCCTCCCTCCCTCTGATCCCTGTCCTGCCTCCTCCCCTGCAGTATGTCTCTGATTTATAATTGTCTGTTTTTGCTTTGTTGTGTTGTGTACTGTTATTATTTTTTACACTGATGTCTTATTTGGTTCTCCAATATTTCTGCTATAAGTGAAACCATCTGATATTTTTCTTTTTCCTTCTGGCTTATTTCACTGAGCATAATTCCTTGTAGTCCCATCCATGTTGCTGCAAATGGCATGAGTTTATCTTTTTTGATTGCTGAATAATATTCCTTGTGTATATATACCACATCTTCTTGATCCAGTCATCTATTTTTGGGCATTTGGGTTGTTTCCAGGTTTTGCCTATTGTAAATAGTGCTGCAATAAACATAGGTGTGCAGGTGTTCTTTTGAATCAATGTTTTTGTGTCCTTTGGGTAAATCCCTAGTAGTAGAATTGCCGGGTCATATGGTAGCTTCATTTTTAGTAGATTGAGGAACCTTCAGACAGCTTTCCATAGTGGTTGGACCAGTTTGCACTCCCACCAGCTATGCAGGAGAGTTTCTTTTTTGCCACATCCTCACCAACATTTGTTGTTCCTTGTTTTTTGGATATGTACCATTCTTACTGGTGTAAGGTGGTATCTCAATATGGCTTTAATTTGCATTTCCCTGATTATAAGGGATGTTGAACATTTTTTCATATGCCTGTTGGCCATTTGCATTTCCTCTTTGGAGAAATGTCTTTTAAGTTCTTCTGCCCATTTCATTTTTTTTTTAAAGATTTATTTATTTATGTATACAAGAGCTGGGGTATGGGCCAGAGATGCCGGGGGTGAGAGGATTCACCAGAGACAGAGTGGGTAACAGGACAGGCAGATTGACTGAAGTACACTGCTGAAGGGAGCAGCGGGTGAGTCAGGAGAGGTCTGCTGCGCCATGTGGGTTGCTCCCTGGGATTGAACTAGTGCTGCAGTGCTGCAGTGCCGCAGAGGCTGCGATTGCTTCATAGTGCAGTACTTAACCCTTTGCACCTCTGGGGGGCCCTCTTCTGACCATTTCTTGACCAGATTGTTTATTTTGTTTTTGTTGAGTCATGTGAGTTCTTTGTGTATCTTTGTGATCAGTCCCTTATCAGTTGAATGGAGTGCAAAGATTTTTTTTCCCATCAGTGGAGTGTCACTCTGTTTTGGTTAATGTCTCTTTTGCTGTGGAGAAGCTTTTCAGTTTGATGTAATCCCAGGTGTTTATCTTTTCCTTGACTATCTTTCTACCCAAAGGACACAAAAACATTGATTCAAAAGAACACCTGCACACCTATGTTTATTGCAGCACTATTTACAATAGGCAAAACCTGGAAACAACCCAAATGCCCAAAAGTAGATGACTGGATCAAGAAGATGTGGTATATATACACAATGGAATATTATTCAGCAATCAGAAAAGATAAACTCATGCCATTTGCAGCAACATGAATGGAGGTAGAAGGAATTAAGCTCAGTGAAATAAGCCGGAAGGATAAAGAAAAATATCGGATGGTTTCACTTATAGCAGGAATATAGGAGAACCAAATAAGACATCAGTGTAAAAAATTATAGCAGTACACAACACAACAAAGCAAAAACAGACAATTATAAATCAGAGACATCCTGCAGGGGAGGAGGCAGGACAGGGATCAGAGGGAGGGAGGGAGGAGCACAGGGGACTGAGGAGCACAGGTGCTTTGGTAAAGGAAATTCTATGGAGACTACACCTGGGGGTGGGGTTGGGAGAAAGCAAATATTGTTTAAAAATGAGCAATGATGTAAAAAAATAAAAAAATTAATTTAAAAAAGCCCCTAAGACTGTGTGACGGTTTTACTTCGGTAGTATGTCATTATGTGCTTTTAAATTTTATGTTTTAAGTTTATATCCATACTAAAGATACATTTCTTCAAGAACATTTGGTGAGCTGCTATAGGATATCTTGAAATATTTTGAGTTAAACCTGAAGGAAGTCCACTATGAAATGATGGGCAAATGAAAGGTGACCAAAAATGTTTTCAAATATCTAAGTATCCTGATTGAATATAGGATCATTTGCTTTAATGGCCAAATGAAGGGCTTTTTAAGTACAAAAGAACAACCCAGGAAGGTTCGAGTGATAACATGGCACCAAAGACTCAAGATTCACTAATTTCCTTACTGCCTCACCTCTCAGACTTCCATTTAAAAGCAGTTCCTGCCAACTTTTTGAGTGTAATTTAAGCGAGGTGGCTAAAGCTAAGAAAAACAAAAGCCGTGTGAATTCCCAGCAATCATCTGTCTAGGCAGGCAAGTGGAGATGAGGGCGAATGAACTGATAAAGAGCAGCAGATTCATTCCACAGGTGGTGTATGCAGCTGCAAGGACTCGGGGGAGACAAGCCCTTCTCAGAAACAGAGAAATATTCAGCTTTATTTGCTCTCCCTCCCTGCATGAGGACAGACCTGGCAGCCTTAAAAAGAAAGGGTTCTGGAATCAAACCAGCCTTCTTTGTATTTCCTGTTTGACTGAAAGCATTTTGAAGCAAACAGAATCCTAAGATCCACTGACTTTTTTTTTTAAAAGATTTATTTATTTTATTTATACAAGCACTGGGTACAGTCAGAAGCGCGGGAGGGTGAGAGAATTCACCAGAGCCAGAGCGGGGAGCAGAGCAGGCAGAAGGGCCGAAGTTCGCTGCTGAGGGGAGCAGCGGGCGGCAGGAGAGGTCTGCGCGCCATGTGGGACCCTCCGGAGAGCAGCCGGGGATCCATCTGGGGATCGAACCGGCGCTGCAGAGGCTGCAGGCAGCTTCGCAACCCAGTGCTCAACTGCTGCGCCACCGGGGAGGCCCGATCCATTGACTTTTTAGAAAAAAGTATATACACGTGTATATACATCTTAGATTGCCTGATGATGCTGTAGGGTAAGGTAAAAGGTATCAGGCTTTTCTGCCCTCCCGCCATCAGGATAGATGAGGGAACCCTGTGATCCTGAATGCATGCCTGATGGCGGGCACCTGAAGTGGGTACACCTGCGCTAAGACTGTGCTTTTAAGGGCGGCGTCACAGGGACGCCAGAAGCCGAGAAAGCAGCAGCAGAAGCCGAAGAGAAGCCGAGATCACCAGAGAGCCCAGATAGAGTAAAGGTTTGCTGGGGGCTGGGAGGCCTGCCAGCCTCCCGGCCCCCCAGCACCCCTGCCTGCCACATACCCGCTGAACCCCAATAAAAGGCCTGCAAAAAACCACTGAGGACTCTGACTGCTCCTTTACCCGGTCTGCATTGGATCAGAAAACCTGCACTGTGGCCAGTCCTGCCTCTACAGATGCCAAGTAACTACCTTTGCTAACTAAATTCTCTTTGCAGATAACTTGGGGCTAGCTGTTGGTGTCCTCTATTCTGCATGTCATAGTTAAAAAAATATTTCAAATATTTTTTCTTTTGGTGCAAATAGCCAAGCAAGAGTCACTGATCTGACACCATAACATTTTCACTCTTGGTCTCACTCTATACTTCGTTTCATAAGTAAGGCTTCATGTAAGGCTTGGCTATAGACTTCAGTTTACAAGTGTATCCTCTTTTATCCCCCACTCTCTGGCTTTTCATGGATGTGTGTTTTGTTCAAGTGTCCCCAGGGACCTGGAAGGACTGGCTGGAGGGATGAGCTACTCACACAGTCGTTTACAGGAGTTCTCCCAGAAAGCAGTCATCAAATCTCATCTGTGGGAAGAAAAACCTTCAAGAAAAATGGGGTTTAAATCTTTCTCTTTTATCTTTTGGACTTCAAGTACAAAGACTTGAATTAATCACCCTCTCAGTTCATGCATGATCATCCAGGTGAGGCCTTTTCTTGTTTCATTTTATTTTATTATTTTCCTGTTTCATTTTATTATTCCCCTTTCATGCCACTCCATGGGGAAGCCACTCCAATATATTTAATATGCTCTTGGATATGCATGTGTCCTCAAATTGCTTTTTTTTTTTTTTAAAGATTTATTTATTTATTTATACAAGCACTGGGTACAGTCAGAAGCGTGGGAAGGTGAGAGAATTCACCAGAGCCAGAGCAGGGAACAGAACAGGCAGGCTGACAAAATACACTGCTGAGGGGAGCAGCGGGTGCGGCAGGAGAGGTCTGCGCGCCATGTGGGTCCCTCACTGGTGGCCGGGGATTGAACCAGCGCTGCAGAGGCTGCGGGCAGCTTCCCAGCCCAGCGCTCAACCACTGCGCCACCAGGGGAGGCCCTCAAATTGCTTTTTTATATAACGTTGTTTATGAACATATGTGTTTTAATTTTGTGTTATTCAATGATTGTTATCTGTTTCTTGCTTTTTTACACGATATTATTTTAAAGTTCTTTTCATGTTCCTTTATGCACAAATAGCTGATTTCTGCTAACTTAGGTTCTGTATTAGGAGTCTGATAATGTTAACATATCTATTCCTCTAGTGATATACATCTGCAATGCCTCTAATTCCCTTGTACCTGAAACAACTCTGCAATCAATATTGCCATATGTGTCTCCTTAGGAACCTGTATGCAAAGCAATTCCTGAATCATAGGTTGTACATGTGCATGTATACACACACACAGATACTGCCAATGTGCTCTCTAGAATATGTGCATTTATTTATAGTCCTACCAGCGGCACTCACTTCCCTCCATCTTTGCTAAGACTGCCAAATCGTCCAACTTTCTAATTTTTACAGATCTATTGGGTGTGTGATAGTATCTCAAATAGTCTTCATATGCATTTTTCTGTTTACTAATGACAATGAATTTCTCTTCAACTCTTCTTAACCATTTGAGTTTCCAATTCTGAGAACTGGCTGTGAATACTCTGTCACTGTTTTGAAAAAGATTCTTTACTTGGCTAAACTTGGATCAGGTTTCTGACACTTCTCCTAGGCCCATCTATGCACTTCCTTGTGGAATTCAATTTAGCAAGAACCACCCATCCCCATGCTTTTCTTTCTTTCTTTCTTTTTCTTTCTTTTCTTTCTTTCTTTTCTCTCTCTCTCTCTCTCTCTCTCTCTCTCTCTCTCTCTCTCTCTCTCTCTCTCTCTTTCTCTTCTTTCTTACAAATTGGTTTGCAATGCTGTATGTGAGCCAGTGGCATAGGATCACACCTCCACAGATGCATGTTGCTACATGACATCCAGCACCAAGGCACCCATACGCTTCCACTATGGTCCCCTTGGCACCAGTCACACTTTCCTCTCCATCCTCGTTCTCCCCCTCTGATAACCTTAATTCTACAGAGATTTCTAGTGGTTATTAGTAGATTGATTTTGGTGGTCCTTTGTTTTATATTCTTATATTCCATCTATCAGTAAAGTCATGCAATATTTGTCTTTCTCCTGACGAATTTCTCTTAGCAGTTCCATCCCCTCCAGTTCCATTCATGTTGTTGCACATGGCAAGAGTTCATCTTTATAACTGAGGAGTATTCTATTGTATACTTCTACCTCATTCTTTTTTTTTAATATAGAGGCATGTTTTATTTATTTATTTATTTGTTTGTTTGTTTATACATGCACTGGGTACAGTCAGAAGCGCGGGAGGGTGAGAGAATTCACCAGAGCCAGAGCGGGGAGCAGAGCAGGCAGAAAGACCGAAGTACACTGCTGAGGGGAGCAGCGGGTGGCAGGAGAGGTCTGCGCGCCATGTGGGACCCTTCTCTGGTGGCCGGGGAACAGCTGGGGATCGAACTGGCGCCGCAGAGGCCGGGGGCAGCTTTGCAACCCAGCGCTCAACCGCTGCGCCACCGGGGAGGCCCTACCTCATTCTTTTAATCAACATCCTCTACCCTGCAGCACTTAGTTGCTTCCATAACTTGGCTATTGTAAATAGTACTGCAGTGTATATGTACCACATCTTCTTGATCCAGTCATCTATTTTTGGGCATCTGGGCTGTTTCCAAAGCTTAGCTATTGTAAATAGTGCTGCTATAAACATAGGGGTGCAGGTGCCCTTTGGAATTGATGTTTCTGTGTCATTTGGGTAAATACCTAGGAGTGGAATTGCTGGATCATATGGAAGCTCTGTCTTTAGTAGGTTGAGGAATCTCCACACACCTTTCCATAGTGGTTGGACCAGTTTGCACTCCCACCAACAGTGCAGGAGAGTTCCTTTTTCTCCACATCCTCGCCAACATTTGTTGTTGCTAGTTTTTTTAATATGTGCCATTCTCACTGGTATAAGATGGTATCTCATTGCAGTTTTGATTTGCATTTCCCTGATTACAAGTGATGTTGAACATTTTTTCATATGCCTGATGGCCATTTGAATTTCCTCTTTGGAGAAGTTTCTTTTTAGCTCTTCTGCCCATTTTTTGACTGGATTATTTTCTTTGTTTTTGTTGAGTCTCATCAGCTCTTTGTAGATTTTTGTGATCAGTCCTTTATCATTAGTGTTGGGTGCAAAAATTTTCTCCCAGTTGGTGGGGTGTCTCTTTGTTTTGGTTATTGTCTCTTTTGCTGTGCAGAAGCTCTTTAATTTGATGTAGTCCCAGCTGTTTATCTTTGCCTTCACTATCGCTGCTTTGGGTGATGTGTCTATAAAGATGTCTTTGAGGTGCATGTCATGTAGTGTTTTGCCTATATTTCCTTCTATAAATTTTACGGTTTCAGGTCTTATGTCTAGTTCTTTAATCCATTTTGAGTTGGTTTTTGTGCATGGTGTGAGGTAGTACTCAGCAATCAAAAAAGATAAACACATGTAATTTGCAGCAACATGGATGGCCCTGGAAGGGATCTTGCTCAGCGAAATAAGCCAGAAAGAAAAAGAAAATACCGGATGGTCTCACTCATAGCAGGAATCTAGAAAACCTAAATAAGGGACTAGGAAAAAGAATAACTATAAGAAAGAAAAAATCAAAATCAACGAACAACCATAAACCAGAGACACACTGTGGGGGAGATTTGGGGTCAAAATAAGGGGGGTGTAATTGTATGGGGAATATAAAAATAAATAAATTTAAAAAATAGTACTGCAGTGAACATAGGTGTGCAGCTATCCCTTAGAATTAGTGTTTTTGCATCCTTCAGATAGATACTTACAAATGAAAATGCAGGGTCACATGCATTGCACATCTATTTTTAATATTTTAAGAAACCTCCATACTGTTTTCCTTAGGGACTGGACCAGTCTTTATTCCCACCAATACTGTATGAGAATGCCTTTTTCTCTCTAACACTTGTTGTTTGTGGTCTTTTTACATGGGTCATTCTCACAGGTGTGAGATGGTATCTCACTGTGGTTTTATTTATTTTTATTTTTTTATTTTTTACATCATTGTTCATTTTTAAACAATATTTGCTTCCCCCACCCCCTCAGGAGTAGTCCCCATAGAATTTCCTTTACCAGTGCATCCGTGCACCATCACCTTAGTCCCCTGTGCTCCTCCTTTCCTCCCTCTGATCCCTCTCCCGCCTCTCCCCTGCAGGACATCTCTGATTTATAATTGTCTGTTTTTGCTTTGTTGTGTTTTGAATTGTTATTATTTTTTTACACTCATGTCTTATTTGGTTCCCCTATATTCCTGCTATAAGGGAAACCATCCCATATTTATCCTTTTCCTTCTGACTTATTTCACTGAGCGTAATTCCTTCTAGCTCCATCCACGTTGCTGCGAATGGCATGAGTTTATCTTTTTTTGATTGCAGAATAATATTCCATTGTATATATATATATATATATATGTGTATATATATCACACCTTCTTGATCCAGTCATCTGTTTTTTGGCATTTGGATTGTTTTCAGGTTTTACCTATTGTAAATAGTGCTGCAATAAACATAGGTGGTACAGGTGTTCTTTTGAATCAATGTTTTTGATTTCCTTTACCAAGGAAAGGTTTTAATTTGCATTTCCCTGGTAAGTGGTGATGAACATATTTTCCTGTGCCTGTTGGCCACCTGTATGTCTTTTTTGAAGAAATGTCTGTTTAGCGCCTCTGTCCATTTTTTGCATCTGGTTGTTTGTTGAGTTGTGTTAGTTCATTTTTCTTTAACAGTTTCTATTGGGTGCTTTATTTGAGCTCCTTAAATATGCTAGGTTTTAATTTCTTGTTGGTTAAAATGTCTTCTTAATATTTCCTTTCAGCCTGACCTCTCTCTGTATAAGTTTGTCTATGATGGCCTGCCTTGAATAGAAACCTGTAATTTTGGTGCTGCCCAGTCTGTTAAAATTTTTTCTTATGGGGCCTCCCCGGTGACGCAGCGGTTGAGCGCTGGGCTGCGAAGTTCTGCAGCGCTGGTTCGAACCCCGGTCGCTGGGCGAGGGTACCACATGGCGCGCAGACCTCTCCTGCTGCCTGCTGCTCCCCTCAGCAGTGTACTTCGTCACACTGCCTGCTCTGCTGCCCACTCTGGCTCTGGTGAATTCTCTCACCCTCCCAACCCGTGCTTCTGACTGTACCCCAGTGCTTGTATAAATAAATAAATCTTTAAAAAAAAATTTTTTTTTTCTTATGTATGGCTTGTTCTTTTTTGGGTCTGATTTACAAGGTTCTTCATCATCTCAAAGTCTCAGTTACATTCTACATATTCTTTTGCTAATATTATCATCTTATAGTTTCATAAGAATTCATAAGATAATACAAAATGATTATTATCATTATGTGCCTCTATCATCATGTAATACAGTACTGGCCACGCTGTAGAGACTTAATACATGAATAAAAAATTCTATTTCCATCTCTAGGTCATTTTTCTCTGGCGGTGCTTCAAATGATGCCTCCGGTGTTAACCTGGTCACTGAAGAACTAGGGAATCCTTTCTGATCCGGGCATCAGCAAATCAACAGCACACTCTTTGATCTCTCCACCACCATCCTCTCATCTGCACTCTACAGTAGCCTCCTAACTGGCTGCCTTGCTTGTATTCTTGACTTTTTCCTATTCATTCTCCACCTACCAGAGTGATAGAGCTTAGAATAGTACTGTACAGGCCTCCCTGCTGGCGCAGCGGTTGAGCGCTGGGTTGCGAAGCTGCCTGCAGCCTCTGCAATGCCGGTTCGATCCTTGGCTGCTCCCCGGCCACCGGAGGAGGGTCCCACATGGCGCGCAGACCTCTCCTGCAGCCCGCTGCTCCCCTCAGCAGTGTACTTCGGTCCTTCTGCCTGCTCTGCTCCCTGCTCTGGCTCTGGTGAATTCTCTCACCCTCCCACACTTCTGACTGTACCCAGTGCTTGTATAAATAAATAAATAAATAAAATAAATACATAAACAAACACAGAACTTATATATATATATAAAGAATAGTGCTGTACATAGTAAGTACCCAATAGATGCTTGTTATTGTTGCAATATTATTATAGAGTTTGGCACTTATTAAAATAGTTATAAATGAAAAATGGGTTCAGTGTCTATATATGCATTGTGAGAGTTAGAGGTTTCCCAGAAAACCTGCAAAGTTTTAACCCCCGTTTTTGTCAATCTTCTGTTTGATCAGTTTACGAAATTTTTGACCATGGGGCATCTGTGATGGTCCTAAGAGTCATCATCCTGAACATATATTCCCACTGCACAGGATGTAAGTAAGTGGAGACTGATCACTATAGGTCCTGGGAAGTGTCTTAGAATATTTTTAGATTTGAGCATATTTTCAGTTATTTGTCTTTTATTCATAGAAGTCACATGTATTGTATCAGTGACATTCCAGTCAGAAGACAAAAACCACATAGTAATTTGAATAGGGAAAGTTAAATATAAAGTACAATACCTAAAAATGGGTTTAAAGGCCTCCCTGGTGGTGTAGGCAATTGGGCACAGCGCTGTGAAGCTGTCCACAGCCTCTGCAGTGCCGGTTGGATCCCCACCAGCCTTGGAGCAACCCACATGGCGAGCAGACTGCTCCCCTCAGCAGTGTATTTTGTCAATCTGCCTGTTCTGTTCCCCGCTGTGTCTCTGGTGAATCCTCTCACTCTCCTGCGCATCTGGCCTGTACCCTGGCTCTTGTATAAATAAAATAAATCTTTAAAAAAAAAAAAAACCAAAATGGGTTTAAGCACTAAGGAGTAAAACAAACTCTAAAGAATATAGAAATAGTGGGCATGGGGAGAAGCTACTGCTTCTAGAGTATTGTTACTCAACTTTTTTTTTAGTGCTCCCCTAAGGAGGTTTTAAAGACATTTTTCCTCTTGACTGCATCCTTTCCTGGAAATTTTAGTACTACAAATACCCTGTGCATCTGTTTATCTACTGTGGTCCTTTGGGAGGCCACAAACTATTACAATACCTAAGATATTTCATCCCCCCAAGAACCAATTTCCACTCCCACTGAGAATGCTTGTCTTAGGGCTAAGGCCAAGTACCCACAGAAGGGACAAATTTGGAGTGGCCCCTTTTCCCCTAAGACTGAGATTCTCACCTCACTGGAGGCAGCATTGTTATTGGAGGTAGAGAATTCACTGAGGTGCAGTTAGTCATGGCCTGGAAGCAAGAAATCATCGATTGGGTTGCTCACCTGTGAATTCCAGTGGGATTCTGGCATTTACTGGCTACCATGTACCACAGAAGAAAGAAAACCACACTAGGACAGAGAAGAGAAGCACTTTCTTCCTGCCCTGGCCCTCCAGTGCTCTTTCCTGATACTATATCATGCCAGCTGCAGGGGAGGAATATTTCCAGGTCCAGCTCTGGCATCACAAAGCAGAGCAGTGAAGAACAGATTTGGAACAAAGAAGAAATAAGTTGATAATTAGAATATGTATCAAAATAAATTCTTTTAAAATAAGGGTTTTTATTCCGTACTGGCTAATCAGGATTTTATGATGCCACATTGTGGTATATACACATGAAAAGCAACCAGTAATTTATAAAAACACAGGGCATGCTATCAGTAAAGCAATTTATTAATATTACATTTTTTTATTTAGTTGTAAAGTTTATGCCTTTGACCCATTATCAATAGGTTGGTTTCATTTCTTGAAAATGAAAGAATGTCTGGATTTATCTATATTCTTTAAATAATTCAGTCATAGAATTTTGATACCTATTGTTTCTTTCTGACAATATTTCTCATGGTAATTCAACAGATATTTTGATTTACCAGTAAATCTATTGTGTTTGGCAAATTTATCAGCTTATCAGGACCTGCCTATTCTTGGGTGAACACATAAAATTGAGCTTCTGAATCAAAAAGCAAATGCCTAAACCTAAGAGCCGGGGTATAAATCATTGAACAAGGAAGCCTGACCCCCACTGCCCATATATTGTGCCACCTCAGGGTAATGTCTTCAGCTAAGGAAGAAAGCAAATGGCCAAGCAATGTCTTGACCTTGTTTGAAATTTGCCCTAGTGCCATGTAAGCCTAAATCTGCATATTCTATAGTTGTCTCAATTCATACTTCTAGTCTGGCTTTGGGTGTGAAATGACTTATTGAGTTGGGGATTAAACCAAGTGCTCTGAAATTTGGTTTCATTACCTTTTAAATTATGTAGACAGATTATGTAAGTGGTATGTCAAGTAAACACTGTTTTCTGACTTACTCAAAGTGTAACTTGTGGTTCCTGCTGTTCCTTTATACACACACACACACACACACACACACACACACACACAGTCAAGTCATCTTTGCTCCTGGGTGAAAAATAATTCTGTGGGGCCCTTAGATTTTTTGGCCACTCTGGCATCATAGAATGACAATTGTAGTTATAAACACCAATTTGATGCAGAAATTAGAATGTCCAGGGGGCCTTCCTGGTGGCGCAAGGGGTTAGGACGCAGCACTATAAAGCTGTCTGCAGCTACTGCAACACGAATTCGATCCCTGGCTGGGGAGGTGACCCACATGGCGCAGCAGACCTCTCCTGTCTCACCTGCTGCTCCCCTCAGCAGTGTATTTCAGTACATCTGCTTGTTCTGTTCCCCGCTCTGTCTCTGGTGAATCCTCTCACCCACCACATCTCTGGCCGTACCCCAGCTCTTGTATGCATAAATAAATAAATCTTTAAAAAAAAGAAATTAGAATGTTCAGTCTAAGATATTAATCTAAACTCTAACTCTGAGTTTAAACATACATCATTTCCTCTTTTCCAGCCTGAGAATAGCTTCATTCTGAAAGCTTGCAGCAAGAAGGGAGAGGGATGTTGGATGGCTTTTTCCTCGTCACTTCTTGTCAAATGAATGGGGGAGTACATTAGCTGGGATTCTTCCATTTGTGGGATTCTTCCACTCTCTACCCTTTTCCGTTTTCCTCTTCACCCAGGAAGGCTGACAATGTATGAATGCATTCCCTTCCCTTTGGCTTCCGGATGGGCTTGGCCAGCAAAGATCTATGGCAGAAGACCAGAGGAAGAGAGAAGAGATCAAGATATTTATCCCAATCACTTTTCCACTGTGGATTATTCTTTGGCTGGCTGTGTCAAAGTCACTGTTCTTCTTACAGTGGTTTGTTCCAAATAACACTTCCTTTCCATTTTGGATAATATTCTCTGAGTGTGTCAACCACTGTAGTTCCTAGACTAACATTTGAATTTCTATTATATTTTACCAATACTTATAATATTTTGTATATAGTCTCTTTGAGAAGAAACTTTCTTCAAATGATCCAAATTTAAGAATGTCATTGGTTTCCTGTTGGGACCCTAACTGGAAAAAAAATCCATCAATATTCATATTGCATGTCAATATGTTTTAAAAGCTCCATTTTTCTTCACTAAATAACTCATATCACAAAACTCACACTTAAATCATTTCCCCCACTATATTATACAAAGTAGTGAAAGGGTCAATTCTAGGTTCAGAAAAGCCAGAACTGGTGCTTTTAACCTCCCCTAACACATCTCTTTCTTTTTCTTTCAGTATTCTCTTAATGGTAATCTCTCCCACCAGGAGGAACATGGATCTAATTAGTGTTATTATCTTCATGAATTAGTCTAACATTTTTCTAGGAATGTATTCCTTTTAGAAAAGAACACCAAGATAAAAAAAATTGAAGATTTAATGATAGAAATTTCAGACTCTGTGACACCAGGAACAGAGAAGGAGGTTTCACCTCATCTATTCTGACCAAGATGAGTCCTAATTTTCCTGCATCTTTGTTCTAAAACATGTCAACGAGAGCAGTTTTAAAGACTTTGCTTCAGTGTTTGTGCAGGTGTTCAGGGCTTTCCAGTTATCGGTTATTCAAATTTTTTTTTTATCACATATCATGGAGAACTTAGTCTTTAGTTTTTGAAAGTACAAGAAATACCTAAACATTGTTGATGATTGTTTTATGGTGTCCCTGAAATATCACTAACATTGCCTCTCTTTTTACATGTTGCTTTTGATCAACCTTGCCTCTTCAGCCACACTTAAAATGAAAGAAATCAAGTAAACAATTTTTAGCAATCAGGGGACCCTAAAATAGCAGGGGATCTGTAGGTTAAGCACACACCAACACACATGCAATCATTCAAATTTTGTGCCTGCCAAGACTAATGATTTATACTTTGAGCTGACTTGATTATTTGAAAAAGCTGTTTTCTGTGGGATAAATATAGCTACTAGTTCTATCTTGCAACCAAGTTTCTCACTAGAAAGCCACATTAATCTTATAATTCCCTTACATAGAAACTAGTAGAACTGAATGATTTCCAAATGGCAAACTAGTAGAAAGGTATCCATTAGTGTTTGAGGACTTAAAAAATATTATCCTCCCCCTTTTCTCTGTGGTTAAAATTAGTTGGTTTCAGTCCACAAATATTTATGGCTTACTATGTGCCAGGTGTTGTTGAAAACAAAAAATACAATGCTGAGAAGGCAAACCAAGTCCCTGCCCAAGGCGGTTGTATTCCAATTGATGGGAAGATAAGTAATAAGCATGCAAACAAAAGTCGTGCAATTTCACTAACTGAAGGCTCTGAATAAGGGAAAACAGGGTGATAATGATAGGTGGCTTCTGGGGTGTAATGTGGCTACTTGGTGACATCTAAGTTGAGACCCCAGGGCTGAGAAGGAGGTA